TTGTCCCTCTTCCATCCCTTCCCCCCCGTCCATCTGTCTTCCCGATTCTTGCGCCCTTTTTCAGCTCCGGTGCCTGCCTTTTCTGTGGGGCCACTCGCCGTTCGCCCTCCGTCGTACCCGCTCCCCTCTTGCTCCCTCCTGCTCTGTGCGCTGGGCTGCCCTTCCCCTCTGTCCACCCGTCTCCGCTGGGCCTTTTTTTCCCCCTGCGCCTTGCTGATGCGATCTCCGCCTGGCCCGGCGGCCCCCCTCGCTCCTCTCTGCGCTACCTCCGTCTTCCCCCTCACCTGCCCCGGTTTTTTTCCCCCCATTCGCCTCCTTTTTTCCCGGTCGCGCCTCCCTCTCTTGCCTTTGGCGTGCTCCTGATTTCTTTCCCTGGCCCGGGCCCTCGCCGTTCCTTCCCGCTTTGTTTCGTTCCGTGTTCGTGGCCTGCCGTTTGTTCCTTTCCCCATCGTTCGCCTCCGTGCCCCCCCCTCCCCCGTCCTCCCCCCTCCGCATTTGCTCGTTCCCCCTCTCTGCTCGGTTGCGCCCTTTGCCGGTCTGTTGGCCTTTCTCCTGGTCGTCGTGCCTCTCTGCGCGGCTCTCTCCTCTGTCCCGTCTCTCTTCCGGCCTCCCTCAGCGTCCGCCGCGGTCAGTGGCGCGTTTCGGCGCCCGCACGTCTGTCTGTCTCTCTCTCCCTCCTTGAGTGAACGCTCTTTTAGGCTATTGGGTCATTGCGCGCTTCTTTCCGCCCCTGCGTGCAGCTCTCTTCCTCTTCCCTCCTCCCCCCTACGCGGCTTCCCCCCTCCTGGCCTCCCCTCTTTTGGCCTGCATTCTTCCCCCGCGCCGCCCCCCTCTCCCCTTGCCTTCCCTCTCCTCCTTTTTGCCCCCGTCTGTTTTTTTTCGCCCCTGTGTGTGGCCGCCCCGTGTCCCGCTGCGTTTTTCTTTCTTTGTTTGCTCTTGCTCCCTCCGGGTGTCCACGCCATACTAGCCCGTTTTTTCCCTGGTCGTCCTCGTCCCCCCGCCCCCGCCTCTGCGGTTTTTTTCGCTCCCCCCACTTTTTGCCCCTTCGGCCTTCGTTTTGCCCCTTTTTTGGCTTTTTTTTCGCTTTTTCTTTTCCCCCCCCCCCTTCTTACTCCCTCTGGCCCCTAGGTCGTCCCATTCCCATGTGCCCGCGCGCCCATCCCGCCCCGCTGCGCGTGGGTTCCCCCTTCCTAGCCCCGCCCTCCGCCCTTCTCCCCGTCCCCTCGACTCCGGTTCTTTTGGCCTTCTTTGCCTCGCTCCCGCGCAATCCTCCGTCTGTTTCTTTCTGCGCTCGCTCTGCACCCTTTGCTCCTCTGGCCCTTCTGTCTGGGCCATCCCTGTCTATATCAGGGTGTCTCGCCCTGTTCTCCAGACCCCGGCCCCTTCCGCCGCCTCTTCCCGCTCCCCATCCGTCCCCCGTTCTTCTCCCGTCTGTCTCTCTCCTCTGCTTACGTTTCGGCTGCTCCCTCCAGGGGTGTCTGCCGTTTCCTTTTTCTTTTCGGCTTTTTTTTGTCCCCTCTTCCTGCGGGTCCCCTCCCCGCTTTGATGCCCTTTGGTGTCTGGGCGTTTTTTGCTCGTGCGTCCCTTCGCTTTTGCTGTCCATCTGGCCTTTCCCTCCTTGTCGCGGGCGCCCTTCCCTCTTTTTCCTGTGGTGCTCTTCCCCCACATTACCAATATAATATACTTTTCGTCGTAGCCTGTAATACTACAAGTAAAAATGATATCATTTACGTACGTTTTTAACGTAAAAAAGATCTCTTAAGTAATAATCGCTACGAGTAATAGTTCTCGAGATATTTGAATCGAAATTATCAATTACCTGTCATTCTTGACATAAATTAACATGTTGACATCAAAATCAAAAAAAAAAAAAAAAAAATCATAAAATTTTGATTGTTTTTTTTTTTTTATTTTTGATTTTTTCTAAGAAATATTTTATGATGTATATTGTAAAAAAATAGAAAATTTCCAATTTTATCTTTTTAGTCCATAACTATCCTAACTTAAGCAGTGCTTATTTTTTGTCATTTAATGACATGTATTGACTATTCCAATTCTAAATAAATATCCATATTTTTAAAAAAAAAAAAAAAAAAAAAACTTTTTTATGTAAAAAATACGAAAATGTATATTTTTTAATTCAGCAGTTCTATACAGGTACGGACAAAAAGTTACTACTCTTCAAAAGAGTTAAATCACATGCAGGTGGCGCCCTCTACAAATAGGAGTCATAATGACATCAAAATCAAATTTCTGATGTTAAAAAAACTATCAGGCACCAATTTTCATCCAAATATTTACTTTACTTCAGAAATTATTTGGAAAAAATCGATATAAAAATGAAACTTCTACACCCTGTATCTCCGAAACTAAGCATTTTAGGACATATATTTATAAGAAGTTTTTTACTTCTTTTTATCTGCAGAATATGCTCCCGAAGTTTTCGGAATACAGTTCGGACCACACTGTATACTTAGAGTTCTACTGTAAGATTCCTCTATTAAACTTGATATTTTCGTAATTCTTACTGGTACAAGTTTGGCAACCAGAGGTTCTCTATAGGCAGGGGCGGATACAGGAATTTATTTTAGGGGGGTACTTATTTTACCCGAATAAAAAGTAATGTAGAATATGCTATTTAGGGAGCCATTTTAAACCCAAAAACCTAATTTTTAACCAAATCCATACATTTTAAGGGGGGCCCGTGCCCCATGGCCCCCCCCTCTGTATCCGCCACTGTCTTTAGGCAACATGATTGGAAATAATAAAATAAGTTATTTAACGGTCATTTTAAAAGCTAGGTGATGTTAAACTGTCTCCTCATTGAATATCTCAGTAGATTGAAGCTAAGAAGCAACGGCAAATGCAGATTCTGTGGGGAAAATGGGGAAACATCAGAACACCTCACCACTCTAAAACCGTTACCAGACACTGGCTTTTGTCAAAGCCCCGAGATTCCGCTCATTGAGATCGATTTTTTAAATAGTTTTTCCTTAGTTCTAGTACGTGTTGAATAATAATTTTTGTATTTTTTTGAGTAATTTGTCTCGACTTTCCCCTACGTCAAATCAAAATCAATTTATTAGAAGAAGAAAGAATTATGGTGGAGTAATTTATTTTTAGAACGTTACTCTTGTGTGGCGACGATGACAATCCAAAAACACCATCAAAAACATATGAAAGTTTATAAAGCTCGAGTTTTAGTCGCATTACTCATACGAAAGGAACATTCTACCTACCCACATATATCGACTATAATTAATAACCAAAAAATCACATTAATAATATGCCCTAAAGACAACTCAAGCCTTCATTAAAAACCCCGCCTGGCGTTACTTTAAAATAATGACATTAACTGGGAATATACCGAAATATCCCTCGACCTAAATGTACAACACATTTACGCCTCCCGAAAATATTCATATTATATTCCTTAAACCCTCATAAGGATCGAATTTCTGCAGAAGCAAGCCGTCGATATGATTTCGTTTTAAAGTTGTTTGAGGGTTAGGCATAAAATAATAAATGAACTTTATATATTCAAATTCGCTCTTCAATAGCTGTGCGTATGTGTTGATTTATTTCAAATAATTAACCGCACCGATAACTCCATTCGTTATTTAATAGTATCTATACAGGGTGATACCGAAATTGATGTTTTTGATAAATACGATTAATATTTACACTGAGGTATTGATTCAACCGAGAATTCAGTCGAATATTATAAAAGTTATCGAAGAGTTGAATACCGAGAACCACACCAACCAAAAGAAGTAAAAGTGGCCAATAAACTAAGCAGAAAAATAACTGTGACAACCGGAATCAGACAAGGAGATAACTTAAGCCCAACCCTGTTCAACATCGTAATGGACGAAATCATAAATGAAGCAAGCTGGGATAGGATATCGACTGGGAGATAAAGGAACAAAAATAATATGTTCTGATGGCGATGCAGCACTCATATCTGAAGCCGAAGATAACTTACAAAAGCTTCTACATAAGTTCCAACAAACGGCAAAACAAAATGCCTTACAATATCTAGAGAGCCTAGAAGATGCAAACTCGCAATCTATGATCAGAGTGTAGAACAAGTGATTTCATCTAAATATCTAGGGGCAAATATATCAAGCACTAGGAGTCTCAAAGAGGAAATAAAACCCCAAACAACAAAGGCATCATTAATATCAGGATATTTAATGAAAATAATTTGGCGGAATAAATATATGAGCGTCAGAAGTAAAGTTAGAATTTATAAGGCTTGCGTGAGACCGGTTGTGACATATGCGATAGAGACCAGAGCAGAGAACACAACAACAAAACGGCTCCTAAGAACAACAGAAATGCGAACACTTAGATCAATTACAGGATATACCTTATATGACCGGAAAGGAAGTGATGATATAAGAGAAACATGTGAAGTACAGGATGTAGTAAGATGGGCAAGAAAGGAGGAGAAGAGAATGGAGACCATGTGGACAGGATGGCAAACGACCAGTTAGCGAAAATTGCTAAGGGAGAAATGACCCAACACGCCTGGACTGCCGGGACGACCACCTATAAGATGGTATGACGCTGGTCTTCATCATCCCAACTGTTCTTAGGGAACCATTGAAGAAAACACAGGACTTGGTCGAAGTACGAAGAAGAAGAAGGTACTGAAATGGCAAAGAAGAATTTATAAGTAAGAATAATTTTTTTAGATTGTATGGGAGGGTGGAATTGAATCACCGCGACCTTATAGATCTACTGGGTCCTCTTTCTTGAGTTATAACTCATCAATTCTCAGGGTTGACGGTTTTACAGAGGTTAGTTCTCCATATCCGATATCAGTTGTATCAAAGTTTATGGTACGAATGGTTCTCGTGTTATTTTCCTCATAGAAAATGCATTCACCGTGGTTTTTTAGGTAATCTACTGAGGTATTCGTTGAGGAGACAATGTCCTGTTAAAAACCTCGTGATAATCCGGAGATTGCTCTTACTTTGATTTTTTTCAGTCGTAAGTCCAGAGAAATTTGCTCGAGTGTCTTAGACTGTTGGAGGATTTCCTTTCCAGGTTTTTGAGTTCTGTTTTAAGTTGGTTTTTACTGGGGAGGCAGAACGGTCCCTGTCCAGTTAGTGGAGTGTTCGCTTCTGTTCTAGCTAGATCGTTTGCAAGTTCATTGCCTTCTATCCCTTGGTGGGCTGGAACCTAGAGTAGGAGGACTTTATTTTCTTTACCTAGTTCGTTCAACTTCTTTAGACATTCTTAGACCGGCTTCGAATTGATGATTACTGAGTTTATCGCTCTTAAGGCTTGACTGTCAGATAAGATGGTTATTTCTTGTTTTCGCTAGTTCCTATCTATAAGTTAAGTTGTACATCATACGGTAGTTTAAAACAAATAATGTTTTAAACACAGTTGTGATGAACAACTGTTTTAAACCATAAAAACACATGTTTTCTTTAAAAATAAGTAAAAATATTATATTTTCAACCCTCTGATTTGTAACGAAT